CTTAGATTAACTTTCTTATGTTCCCCCTGTAGACAACCCATGAATTACAGTATTAAAGCACCCTGACTCAAAGGATTCTTGCACCGTGGGAACATTCCTTGCTCAGAGCTTTTCAATAGTCAAAATTTCTATGCCTTTATGCCAGTTTTAGTCTACTGGCCCAAATGGGTCCACAAAAGTCATTTGTACAGATTAATGCAATTAGTTAAAACCTTCTCCCTCTTACTCAACAAAATTATAGGGTCTGCAAAGACCAATTCAAGTTAAGAATAATTTTACTGATTTTGCTCTATTTTAAGGATTAAGGATTTGCCTACCAATGAACCTGCACTGGTTTAAATAGGCCACTTTTATTAACACAGCAAACTCCAGGAGACATTTTATATTATTTTGACCAACTCCACCTGAAGCCATGCCCTTGATTAACTAACTAGTATCCTGCACAGAACTGACACTTTACTTGTTGCAAGGTACTCTTAAAATGCACTGTGAGCACACATCCAAAGGGAATCTGCACAATGCAAACTGCCTTGGAAAACAATCATATTTAATTGGTATGGACAAGGTTATAGTCATAGTTCTCAAGAACTGTCCTTCTGCTAAAGATGAGGGACAAGATGCACATTTAAATCACTGTGCCATGGTGTTCATGAGCCAGGGTCACATGTAACAAAGGAGAACTGTACCATTTTATGTCGTTTTCTTGTTTTTCCACTGCTTAAGGTTACAGAAGTGTTAACACACGGTGGTGTCAAGTATATTAAGAGCTAGTTTGGGAGAGTACTCGATTTCAAAAGGAAATCTGTTCTCTTCATGTGGCAATGGCCTTCCACTGGCCTTAGTTACAAGGGAGGGCCCCAGGAGTGCAGATCTATCCGAGTCTGTGGTGGTGAAGCCCAGGTCAGGTCACTGCTGCTGTCACTGCTCTGAGCTCTCTGGTCAGTTCCCAGCTTCTTGTCTCATTAACACAGCACATCCCAACCTGCCCCAGGCAAGATGCAGATGAAACAGTTCCAGCATTTTTGCTGCTTCCATGCAGACGTGATTCCCAGCGCCAGAAAACCACCACACTAATAAAGACCACACGAAGAAACTCGAAATCAAATGTGACAAGTACTCCTCACTGGCCAAAAGGTCAAGATTTTCTTTTAAAAATATCTTTTTCCTACAACAAATAAATGCTGTGCCTTGCTAAAAATCCCAGTAATACAAATTCACTCCAGGATAACAAACTCCTGTCAATTTAATTACTGCAAACTGTACTTGCTGATAGAGACAGTAAACAAGACACAGTAAGAGAAAATATTGCACAGAAGCAAATGTATCCACAAAATACTCCAAAGTGTAAATCTTGAGGGCCAGATTCTCAGTTTTTGCATATGTCAACACAAAGCAACAAAGGACTCTTCCCTTTGTGTCAGGCAGTGTCCTGGCTGCAAGATTTCTTCCCTTTTGTGCCTGTGGAGCTGCTGGAAACACAGACAAGTCACCCCTTCACCAGCAAGGAAGGAAGGAAGGAAACAAATTTATGCACAACCCAGGGGAAGCACAGGTTTTTTATATGATGATTTGCATTTAAATAAGGTCTGCAATACCTGGGTTTCTTCTTTTTGTGTCTTCTGAACCAGGAATTCAGAAAAAGGGAAAGAGAAACCAAAAGCATGTGGAAACCTCACACCCAGACCACTTTGTTCAACCTATGCCTTCAGGTCGAAGAGATTTAGTAGGACAAGCTCTCAAAAGCAATCACCAAATTTGAAAACATATGGCCATAAACAAGTGATCCCAGCTGACACTCACTGCAGTGCTACAGCAAATCTGTGGCTGCAGCTTTGTGATAGCAAGGGGTATTTTGTTTTTTAACCACTAGGCTGCCTTTGGTTTGCTGTGTGGCTGCTGAGATGAAAAAACAGCCCTCTTTGCATCTTGCTTTCAGATCTTGCAATGTACTTTTTCTACCCCCTTTCAAGTGTAAGGAACTTTCCAGAGATAACAAATAGGTCCCACCGGGCAGTTTTATGTATTTATTTTGTCTTCCTTTACAGACAAAGACAACGGGCAAGGGAGTTCAAACGAAGCTCAGAGAGCCAGAAAGGAAACCACAGGTTTTATTTTTCTCTTCAGAGCTTATGTTTAGTGAGGCCTCATCCCTCAGCATGAGATATTGTTTTCTGTTCCGTGAGGCCTCATCCCTCAGCACGAGTGATATCGTGTTGTGCTCTTCTTGGCTTTTTAAATATCCCAGGTCACCCACAGAGGTTCTGTGAACTCAGATAATCTTGATGTCAACTGGAAGATGCAGATAAAACACTCTTTAGTTCTTGTCTTCCAAATTTCTCAGACCTCAGGAGAGATACCTGGAGATAGGATGTTCCAGTTTCGGTGGCAAAGGTAATCTCTGACAACACGCCTTGGGAAATAAATCAGATTGTTTATCCTCTGCTGGTAGTTTTGCTCTCTTTGGTTCACAGAGCACAAAGGAGACAGCTCTTTTTTAAACACTCCTCCTGTCTAACCCTCTCCCTCTCCCGAAGTGAAAGGTCGTCAGGGTGAGACTGACAACTCACCGCAGTCTTGTGAGCTCTTGAGCATCGCTTGGTGCTTAAAAGCAGTTTTACTTCTTTTACTTCCCTCAGTCGTGACTCTGCTCTTGAAGGCCCTGCAAGTGCAAGGGGAGCATCCTGGAGGCCTTACATTGCCTGTAAGCAGCCACAAAGGATGAACATTTCAGTTTGTGCTTCGTAACTGGGTCACGCTGCGCAGGCAACTCACACTTTGAGTGGTGTAAGGCCCTTCTTCCAAACTGTGATAGAACTGTCACTGACTGTAACAGCACAGGAATATCCCTCCTCCTCCCAGTTCTGGGGACTGCCTCTTCCCTGGCAGATTGCTGGTTTGTCATTAGACCAGGTTACAGCACTGGTGACACTGAAGAACCCAAGTGTAATAATTAACGCAAGGACTGATTTCTGCTCCTTTCAAAGGAGAGTATCTTCCAACAAGGCTTCAGATATACAAGCTGCTATTATAATACTCATCACAGCTTTATCCCAGAGATGAAGGTTCTTCTGTCCTTCAGAAAGAGACACAGGGAAGATACATTTTCCTTCTATGACGCTTTTTCTTTTTTAATAGTCTCATGTTCTAAACACAAAGAAATTGAGGTATTTCTCTCTCTGCACAAATTGTGAGATCTGTGTCAGGTTCATGACCCCATCTGTCTCAAAGTATATCCTCTCTCACGTGTGCCAAAGGACTGGTGTGGGTGCTGTGTCCCACACCAGGGTGTTCCATCCTTGGCTGGCATGGAACTCCAGGAAACTGCTCACTGTAGACAGGAGAAAAGATGTGATGCAAAGAAGGGAAAACAATCCACCAAAGGACAGAGTAAGGGGTGCAACTTAATTTCAGGCCCTTTTATTCAGAAGGTCTTTGGCAGAGATTGTTTTATTCTCCCTGCCAGGGCCCAGCCAAGTGAGCAATGAGTGCACCTTGCAGTAGGTCAGCCAGGAACTTCCCAGAGGTCCCTGAAATCCCACACATGTCTTTTCCTGACAAACTGACAGAGCTCTTCCCCTACACTGTGACAAGCTGAAACATAACACCAGATGCATCAGTTACCAAATCTGTGCCACTTTAATCCAGCCATGGTGGACACTAACAGGGATTAGACAACATCCACATCAGGACATCATCCCTCAGTCTGGGAAATACAAGCACACAAGGCCACCACGTGCTCACTGGACAGCTGATTTTTTATGTCCCTTCCAGCCCTATTAACACATGGAGTTAAACCGAACCAAGAAAATTCCATTATTATGTCACAAATGTATAAAATTTGCTGTTGTTTAATGTGACATTTGAGTTTGGAAAAAAGCCTTTGTTCTGAAATCCAATTACTGACTAACACTACTAAGCATGTAAATAGCTAATTCCCAGATCTTCTTCTGACCTTTTCCCACAATTTCCATTAGATTTTAAAGCACCAGTTTGGCAGAGCAATTTCCAAGAAAGGACTTTCACCATCCCCACCACACAACCAGAGGTAACATATGGAGAAATAAACACCCAGGGGCAAACTCCCTCTCACTTGGTTATTGATTTCCATCAACAGCTTTGCAACTAGAATGCATTTGGCCTTTTACCCCAAACAGGGAAAATGAGAAAACCAGGTTAAACACACCATTATACACTCCAACAAATGGACACTGAGAAAACCCCATTTCTTGACCCAGCAGAGAGAATCTTACTCCTTGCCTCCATTTTCATCACTGGCCTGATTAGGTTATTGTGCTCTTCAAAAAAATTTCAGACACAGAACTAATTCATACTGTGAACAGCAAAGAAACATATTTATAAAAAAAATAAAATCACAAGCCAGGAAAATCTCAATTTCCTCAACCTCTAAGAATCCACTGTTGGTTATCTACCTCCCTTCTGCCTCATCCCCCTTCTCCTCATCACATGCTCATGCTTTTCTTTAATTAAGCAAGTAAAAAAATCTTTGCCTGGAATTCCTCATTTTGTTTCTCCTCATTACTACTAAAAAAAATAATCCAACACTGAAGGCAAATAGCACTATCTGGTCTTAATATTTTTGTATCACCAGCTTTGATAGAATTTGGTTCCAGTGACCAAATATGACCATGATTCAACCACAAATTTCATATTCACTTTGCTGCCTGCTCCAGATGTGAAGAAGCTTCATATCCTGAACTGCCAGTGCAGCAAACCCCAGCATTTGATGGAAATCCTGCCATCACCACACACACTGGTCTGTTTGCAAAACCTGGTGTTTCAAGGCCCACAGTTTCAATACAAGTCTGTGCTCTCAGACCTTCTGGATCTCAAGGCATCTCTACAGCCTCCTACTTTTAGACAGCAGGACCACAGCTGATTGTTCTGGAATTCTGGGTCAGGAGTCTTCAGTGAACGAGCAAAGACGCAGCACAGAAAGACAGAGGGGAAAAAAAACAACCTGAGAAAAGTAACCAATTTACCTGGAGTATTAACAGCATCTGAATGATGGAGGGTGGGACTCTGGCTCTGGAACGGGATAATGCATCTTCCAGCTTTATGTTGAGGGTGATGATGTTCCTGAAGTGCAGCAGAGCCAGCTGCCGGACCGAGGGCTCCTTCCCCTGGCAGACACAAACACAGCAAGGCCCAGCACGGGCAGGGTGAAAAACAGGTTTCAAAAATCCTCTGTCCAAATTCCTTCCTCCCCTTCTGAGGGATTGCAGGAATAGCAAACCTAAGTGAAGAGCCAAAGAAACATAACAAAGGCCAGGGAGCAGCCTCCGAGTCTGCACAGTAAATCTGATTTGGCAGCAGTGAAGGCTAAGGACAGTGACTGAGTGTGTGTGTGCAGATGAAGGACTGGGGTGAGCACTGAATTATATATATATTCATATATATATATATGAATATTTTGTACTTAAAAGTATATCACTAATGAAATGTATCATATGTTTGAAAAAAAATAGTAAAAAGCAGGGTTGCAAACTGGTTGAATTTCCATTATTTCCTAAGATTTTGAATACTGGTTGGCTACTGTCTTCAAATTATGGTTGGAATCCTGACTCAGCCCCACCTGTGGATCCTCTTTTCTCTCCAGTTTGAGAGACTTCACTACAAGGCAGGAGGAGCAGAGCTGAAGTTTCACAGTGCATTTTCAAAGACATCTTTTTGCAGTTCAACATTACCATGTCATTGAAGGAACTCCCAGCTGAAGAACACAAAAGAATACATCACCACCTCTGTCTGCAGAGATTAACAGCTCCTGCCTTAGAAGGAGTTGTGAAACTGTTCCTCCTGCTGGCATTAGGGGTTTTTCCTTGGGTATATATGGCTGTACACATATATTTTTGACCGCTGTTAAGAGAGTTGTGGGCCAAATATTAACACTTCTGGAAGGTCTGCTATTCAGGTGGTGTTGACTTACCTAAGTCTGGACTAAAGAAGCCTGACCCAAACCGACCCATTCCTCTTCACTTTGTTAATATTTATACTGAACACTTTGTTAATATTTATGCTGAAGAAGAGAAGACTCCAAATTCAGTCGCTAATGAACAGAATTTAGAAGAGCACATAAGCACCAGCTGAGCTTTGTGAAGTAACCTCAGGACATCAGCAACCAGATCTACTTGAATTTACCCCTCAAGGTTCCTTTGAAAATTCAGGTAATTATTTCCATCTGATAGGGGAGGAGACTCGTGTTACTAAAATATTTTCAAAGGCCTCAGAAAGACAACAGAGAAAAGCGGTGTTTGGTGCAATTTCCAAAACCTAATTTAGTTAAGTGCTTTGGAAAACCAGGCTGAGAGCCTACTTATATCTCTAGGTGCCCAAATAACTTGGATTTAAATTATGGGACACTTGGAAAAACCTCCCTTTGTGTTTCAGCATGTTTTTAATACCATCTTATTTCTATTGCTTTGAAGTTTCTACTGGTAAGGCACAAGCCTATGAGTGAAGTAGCCCTCTGTGTTTTTTGAGCTCTTCCCTTTGAGAATCAAATTCTGTGTGAAGTTACAGCTTTTCCACTGAAATCAGATTCCATATATCTGTCACTATCTGCAGATGCAAATGGTAATATTGTGAATATCTGGGCATTCATTTTAGGCATGGAGTTCACTTGGAAAAATGGGAGAAGGTTTCTGAAGTTTCCCCAAATATGTTCAAGCTCCCACTAAAATCTGAAGGCATCTATGAGCAGCCCCAGAAGGTCACTTGTACCTCTCTGGTACAGCTTTCCTTGGGACCTCAGTGATAAACAACACTCTGGGGCCATCAGTAAATCAGAAGATTGAGCCTTCACCCAAAGCAGATCAAGTATCTATGGGGGATTTAAAATTACTGGAGCCAAAATCTGTGCTCATCTAAACTGGTCTAAATCCACTGGCTATTGCTGTTCCCTTCCAGCAGCACAGGATTTGATCTCAGAAATATAATTCCTTTTCAAAAGTGGAAACACTACAGGAACAAATTCACAGTGCAGAGGAGGAAATGCATATATTTAAGTCCACACAGCTCCACTTATTTCACTGTGTGCGTATCTCAGTTTATCAGTCACAACCCTTTTTTTCACTTTTAGTGTGAATTGGCAGAAGGACTAACCAGCCTCCTTGCACTCCACTTTTGTTTGCAAAGTTCCCCCTCACGTTTTCCACCCAAGCACTTCAAACCCATTTGCATAAGGAACTTATTTGCATGACATGACTGTACAGAACAGCTGCACTGGGAGGTTGGCCCAAGGAGAGAGAATGAAGGATTGCATCAATCTGCTGATGAACCAGTAAAGTTGCTTTTTCCAGTTTTTCAAGATTCTGTAGTAACAGAGTAATTTTTCACCTGCACAGGATAGAAAATAGCCTGAAGCATGGGCAGGACATCACTGAAGAAAAAATCCCAGGTTTCAGCTAAGGTATCCAGTAGTTTCTGCCCTGCAAAAACACAAAACAAAGTCGTGAAGTGTTTAGGTTGTAACCAGGTCACTGCAAAGAGTAAAACATGCAGGAAACAATGTGAAGCTCCTATTAAACACTAAGATGAATCACGTAGCAGCTACTGGCAGCAGTGTGGAACTAGTACCCTTTTGGTGGATCAGATCCTTCAGTATTTCTGGCTTTTCAGGTGACACATAAAATCAGTAAACTAATAGTAAAGTAATTAGTAAACTAATAGTAAACTCTTAGTAAACTCAGAGACTCTGAGGTTACTCAGGAGCCCAGATCCACAGAGAGGAAACCTGGCTCAACAGCTGGATGCTGGTTTCAAATCCCTGCTCCCCAAAATGGCCCTGTGACTTTTTGGACAAGCTCTTTGCCATCCCTGTGCCCCAAAACCAACCGTGAAAGGAGAGCAACGCCCCTGCACCTCCCCCAGCACTATGGAGATGAACACATCAATGATTAGGAGGCTTTCAGTGAGACAATATGACTTATCAGGAAGCAAGTTCAATGGCCATCAATCAATATTACTATTGGTGTCAGAATCAGATACTATTCTTAAGTTTTGTATTGCTCTGGGCCTCAGCCAGGGAACATTTTGCCCAGAATTACACACATATCACAAAGCAACCACGCATGAAAGCATCTCCAGTGCTAACTGCAAAGTTAGCCAAGTGCCAATCTTGATTATGGGATACTTGATCCCCCTGCATTTATAAGCACATGACGAACAGCATCAGCTCTGGCCCATCTGCAGCTCCTGAATTATTCCTGGGCTGCTGACTTTAAGTGCTTTCAGTGACAAATGTGGATCCCCACACTGTACTGCAGCTGCTGCCCTGTGCAGCACACCAAGGTCCTCATATCTGCACCACCAGGCAGCAGTTCTCTCTGTCCTACACACTGAAGAGGGTGTTCTCTGTTTCAGGTTTTTAAAACTTTCAAAAACTTCTCTTCCAATAGTTCTAACGAAACACAGCAGGGAACCAAGTGCAAAGTTTCCTGGGAGCTGTAGCAGTAAAAAATAATAATAATAATAAATATCTGTGCTGGTTTTGGCTGGGCTAAGGCAATTTTCTTCCCAGTAGCTGGTAGGGGCCATGCTTTGGGTTTGTGCTGGATCAGTGCTGGTAACACAGGGATCTTTTAGTTCTTGCTGAGCAGGGCCTGCACAGAGCCAAGGCCTTTTCTGCTCCCCACCCACCCCACCAGTGAGGGGCTGGGGGGCACAAGGACTTGGGAGGGGACAGGACAGGACAGCTGATCCCAGCTGGCCACAGGGACATCCCAGACCATGTGGGGTCATGCTCAGCATACAGAGCTGGGGGAGAAGGAGGAAGGGGGGATGTCAGTGCTGTGTGTGATGGGGCCCTGCTCCCCCGGAGATGCTGAACCGCTGACCAACCACAGGAAGTGGGGAAGGAATTCCTTGTTTTGCTTTGCTTCCATGCACAATTTTTGCTTTCCCTAATAAACTCTCTTTACTGCAACCCATAAGTTTTCTCACTTTTACCCTACCATCTCCTCCATCCCATTGGGGGAGTGGGAGAGCAGCCATGTGGGGCTGAGCTGCTGGCTGGGGTTAAACCATGACACCACCTCTGCATTTTAACACCCATCTACCAGTGTCTGAAACACTGAAGTGTTTGCAAGACACAAATCTGATCATGAAGGAGAAGCCCAACCATTCCACGCCTCCAGGGTAGGGTTTTAAAGAGTTAAACAAGTTAGTTGCCCACAAGTTGTGGTTAAGTAGAAATGAAGCCCTTACAAATCTGGTCCTTTTCAAATCTTGCTGCTAGAATTGTATGAAGTCAAACTACCTTGGTGAGGTAAACGTGCCTTTACTGTCACACACTTAATCCACCTTGTGGGCAGCTTGTTCTGTGATGGATTTCTGTACAGCAGCTCAGAAAGGCTGCAGAGTTAATGCCTCTTAGGCAGGCAGGCCTTTTATTGAGGGCTGTGGAAGAATTCCTACGGTTTTCTGATGATTTCACATGAAGGAACAGGACTTACATGTCCTTTCAAAAATACATCTTTTTTTTTACTATCAGGCAAAGATCCCTCCATTTACCATAAGCATTTGCTGGATTCCAGGAAACTGGATTACTCTAAATGCTCATTTTAATGAAGCACAACATAATCAATATTGTATGACATAAAAAATGCACGTATCACTTTTTACAGGGCTTCTAAAAGTTAACTGAAACTCCTGAAAGAAATGTAAGATTAAATAGTTAGGTATTAGGAAGAAATTGTTCCCAGTGAGGCTGGTGAGGCCCTGGCACAGGTTGCCCAGAGAAGCTGTGGCTGCCTCTGGATCCCTGGGAGTGTCCAAGGCCAGGCTGAACAGGGCTTGGAGCAACCTGGGATAGTGGAAGGTGTCCCTGTTTAATCCTCACCTTACCAGAATTTCTGATCATATTTTAAGGGGGCATCCACAAAAGGACACACTAAATCAAAAAAACAACATAGGCTTAAAGTCAACAGTTTGCTAAAATTTTGTATTTCCTAAACATGTTCCTATATTTGAAAGCCCTTCAGTGGTCTCGCATTTCAGTTTTTTACCTCAGCTTTGATCTCAAATATCAGATACAGTATTTCTGATTTGCAGGCTAGTAAAATCAGAAAAAAATAGGGTTGGACCTTGTTAGGTCTCATTTGTTGATTTGATACTTAATATCCAACCGTCTTTGTGATTTACAAAGCAGCTGTGAAGGCCTCGAGATCCTTACAGCTCCCCTTGTGCTCTCCAAGCTGTTATTTTATACCACTGAGGAATGTGGTGTTCAGCTTAAAGAGTTTCAGTACTCTTTTTGTGGGTTTGGGGGTTTTTAATGTGAAATTGGTTCTCTTTTTGTGGTGTCCAGGGCTACTGTCTCTTCATCAGGAAAGCTGGGTCCCATAGCACCATCCTAATGTGATCAGTGGTACTGTCAGCAACGAAAGGTCACATCCAGGATTTACAGAGAGCTGAGACTAATGGAAATGTTTGTCCCCAAGCTCCTGCTTGAGCAGTTTATTTAAACTAAGTGATATCATGAGTGCAGCTTTGAAAAAGGAGAGATGCACTTCTTTAAAATCGAACTTAACTTCCCAAAGGTCTTCAGACTGTTTACACGGGCAATAATTCCTGAAGATACTCCCAAACCATTTCACACCTGATGATGTATAAAATCAGAGAATCACTGAGGTTGGAAAAGACCTTTAAGATCATCAAGTCCAACCATTCCCCCAGCACTGCCAAGGCCACCATGAAACCACGTCCCCAAGTGCCACATCTACACCTTTTAAACCCCTCCAGGGTTGGTAACTCAACCACTTCCCTGGGCAGCCCATTCCAGTGCCTGAACAACCCTTTTGGTGAAGAGATTTTTCCCAACATCAGATCTAAACTTCCCCTGGTACAACCTGGCATATTTAACAGCACATCTAAATGCCACTTAATAGTACAGGACACAAAATAATGGGTGGCTGTAAAACAACCCATCAGGTGGAGGTCTATCCTTCACATCTACTTCCATAAGGTGACACCTCCAGACGGTGCAGACACTCAAATAAAGTGACTGCTGAAAAAGAGACAGTGTCTTACCTCATTTATGGAAGCTGTTAAAACAACCTACAGCATAATTCTGGACTGAGATACTTCGACTAACTGGGATCTTCCTGCTCCTTTTTTTGTTTCCTAAGAGATCTCAGTCTATTTTTCCATTTTTCCTGAACATTAAGCAGGCTATAACTGAGGGAGGTGTCCATGCTGGAGGCAATCCTTCCTTTACCCCCTGGATGCTGCTCCAGGCAATCACCTCCCCTTGATGAAAGCTCATGATGAAAGCCTACCAAGGCTGTAGGAATGGATTCCTACATGCTAATCCATAGTCCCAGGAAGATAATGGAAAGCATACCACTGCCTCCAGAATACATTTGCTAGAACTCCTGTGACAGACACAGCTCAAAAGCCAAGTTACCTTCATAAAACCGGATCTTGTCCCTTAGGATCACCATGCCTTTTGTGAGCAGCTGATTCTGTAAATAAAATACAGACTACCTTTACTCAACTCTGCACTTCCCTGCAGCCATCACATTTCACATTTTGTTCATTCCTAACTTTTGACAATGAGGGGGATCTTTTATCTTAATGATCAATCGTCAGAGGGCTCCTCCTGTGTCCATCCTGCTTAAATCACCTGGGACACTTGTCAAATGATGATGTTTTCAGGACACAGCATGTATTTTGTGCAGTACAAAGTGCTTCTCAAACTTCAAGTGGCTGACCCACAAAACATGGACTCTATCTTAGAGAAGCAAAAAGAATATTGCTTCAAAACCAGACAGTGGTACTTACTGCTAAATGTCTTTCCTAGCAACTGTACTACAAGGAGCTTCACTGGTTTACTCAGAAACTTGAAATTTAAGTTAAAAAAGAGAATGTGTGAAATGTACTGAAAGACAGCAACGTCATACAGAAATACAGGGGCAGCTCAGGCTTTCATTATCTAATTATATATATTTATATATAAAATCCAAATCTTACTAGCCCATAAATGACAGAAACTCAGAGAAGCCAGTGCACATCTCTGAATGGTTTCAAGGGTCTCCAGATCAGCATTTAGAGTGGGTGACATGATTTTGCTCAGTAGCATACAACAACATTGGATTTAAATAAAGAAAGCACGTGCCTACCTGCAGATATTCAGTGAAAAAGGATCCCAGTTCTGTTTTCAGTAATTGCCTGTATTGAAAAGAGTAAGAAAAGAATCCGTGTGATCAGCTGTGCACTGCATGAGAGAGGGGAAGTCACTGACAGCAAAATATTTCTGTATGAGCACAGAGCCTGTCAATAATGACTAACTACAAAAAGGGCCAACAGGGTCAACAAATAAATAACCAAGACTCCCAACCAGCCCTTCTGTATGTTGAAAAACATCTGCTGTGGTTTCGGATGGCTCAGTTGCACAAACACATAGGAAAGGAAATTTAAGATTTGATGAAAAGAGGATGCTTTCCATCCTACATCCAACCCTTCTAAGAATTCTCAAATTATTTCCCTGCAGTGCCAGGACTTCCCTGGTGCCTGGTGACATGGGAGAACTCCTGGTGATCTCTGACCATCTGTGGCTCTGAGCCAAAAACTGAGCACGTGACTTGTCTGTCGTCTTCAAAGAGCCAAATCATCCCTGTCCTACATAAGGGTGAAATACAGAGCTGTGAAAAAATACTTGGGAGAGAAACCTGCAGCAGGATGATACTCTGTGTGTTTTGTTGCTCGTGTGAAACTCGGTCAGTTTTCAATGAAAGGGCCACAATTTTCCACCCAGGAGACTCAACAATTTAAGTTTTATACGGTTTCAGGGAAAAAGCAGGCAGGAATTGAATAGTTTAGTTCTGCCTTTTGTAATTCCTCTGGACTCAAACCTACAAAGCTACTTTGAAGAGCAAACAAAACTAAAAAAAATATCCCACAAATAACCCTCAAATCCAGAAATTTAATTCAATCCAGTCCATGAGCTCACTGTTTGTATCCAGGGAAAACTCACTACATTGCTAAAAAGCTGTGTGTTATTTAAGTCTCACATATTAGTTCTGTGCAGCCAGGTCACTATTTAAATGCATAAATGACAGCTCAGGCCTTACAGAAATGCAGCCCCAGCTGGGTGTTCTGAACACGTGCAAGTCTGGCCTGGAGCTCTTTTAAAAACCTGTCTGTGTGACCACCTCAGGTCCCATGAAGAAATGAGGTCAAATTTGATTTAAAATCTAAACACCCACTGTAATTAGGGTAGTAATGAAATTCTACTTTCAGTAGCTTGTCATCTATCTCTTTGTGTTATGTCTTTAACTGACAAATAACTCCTTAATCGAATTATTTTACCAGTAAACAAAGAGACATCAATTCCATGAAAGTCTACAGGAGCTGGTTCTGATGTTTTTCCAACGGATGCTTTGGCACAGCCTCTGGAGAGCTCCTGAAAGTTCAGGGCAAAGAGGAGCAGGTCAGTCTCCAGGAGGGTGAAATAGAGTATCTGATTTCTTTATCCTTAAGCACATGTCCACACTGACCCCACAGCACCCTGTGGAAACACTCCAGGCAGAAATGAAAGAAAAAATAAACAAAAGGAAGAGGGGTAGCTTGATTAATTAAGACAAACTATCTACAGATAAGAATTCTAAAACCCAGCTCAGGCCTTACCCACAGGTCTCTCATTGCCATGAAGAGCCATTGGGTTGCCAGACCCCCTGGCATGTGGTTGCAATGGCACTAAAGATTCATCTTGCTTTGAACATGGATACAGAGACTATTTTTAGGTTAAAATAACAAGGAAGTTGCAGTTTTGAATTCTCCTGCAAGAGAGAATTTATTCCCAGGCATCTCTTCATGACACTGTCTCAAAAAAACGCTGATACTCTCTGCTGACATTTGCTTAACTTCCTACCCTCTGCTCAAGCTGGCAGCTCCACCTGGATTCCTCACTGCCTTGAACACAGTCTTGCAAATACCTTCTCTTTTCATATTTTAGGTTCTACTGATAACTCCTGGCATTTAGGGAAGGAAATAAAAAAGAAAAAAAAAGTTCTACTTATCCAGCAATAAGTAGACATAAACCAAATAGATAAACCAAACAGATATAGAGATAAAACAAAACCCCAGCACATTTCCATTCTTTCAGCTGTGAATGAACTAAACAACCCGTTTGAAGTTAATTACATGCACTGGACTGCACCACACCAAGCAGCACCACGGCCACACAACATCTCTGCTCACAGGGCAGGAGAACTGACAGCACAATTAATGCATCTTGCTTTTTGAATCCCTAATAATACAGGTCCTTCAAGCTACTTAATTAATTTCTAGTCAAACAGTGAGGCCCTCAGGCCAGATCACAACACTGGGGTTTGACGTTCTTTGTATGTATTCATTCAAAATTTTAAATTTTAAAAGGGATCCCCAACAAAACTGGATCCAGGACATTGCTTGTGATTTTTTTTTTGCCCTTGCTTCGTTTCATTTAACAGGAATCAGTCAGATCCTGGATAATTCCAATTACTGACCAACCTTAGACATGTGGACACCATGGTGGAATCCAGGGGAAAATCTGATTAAACCTGAAAGAGATCCCTGATCAGACTGCAGGGCTCATTTCAAATACATCTAATTTTTAAGCCACTCTTGTCTGTCATTGGCATCAGGTCTTCATTGCCTAGCTAATGAATTAATAAATGAAGAAAATATAAATTCACATAAAACATGCTAAAGTAGCTCATGACTATTTTTCTTCCTGCTGCTGCTTCTTTGGTTCATTTTGAAATTAACTCTTGCAACGTTACTCAGAATGGAAAGGGTAACACTGTCTAATAACTATTCAGTACAGTTAAATGAAGCACATGGAAACAAGTGATTTGACTGGGTTTGAAATCTTGCTGCTAAAGAGGAAATGCCACTAAAATGTGCTTTGTTTGCATCAAATCAGTATCCTGAAACTCAGAAAAGAGGCAGCTATAAATATGTATTAGCTTTAATACAGGACATCCCGCTTCCACTGCATTTCCTTTTCCTTCCTCTTCTTCCTTGCTTTACAAGTGGTCAAAATAAACACTTTGAAATGGTACATGAAATAAAAAAGGACCACTATTGGATTACAAGCATCACACACTTGCACCAAGGGAAAACTAAACAGTACATATGTGAATGTAGATTTTTACTGCCTGGCTTTTGGATCAAAAGTTACAGCAGTGTGAGAGAGACTCAAATCCCACACTGGTTTTACTGGCAATAGGGATTCTGAGTGCTGTGAAACTCCATATTTAGGGCCACTTTCTAACACCAGAGGAATGCAAGAATAGTGTCAAAAGGTACAGACAAGTGGCAGCTCTTATGAGCCAAATCTAGAAGAAAAGTAAGTGGTACTGTACAGATTTGTACCCACTGATGTTTTCTTAAACCATCAGGGTTCAAAGCCTTGAGATGTGTGCTCAGAAAAGGAAGTTTTATGTATTTATTTGCATGTATGTCATAACAATGTATGTGACATTCCTGAGCCAAAACAATGGCGAGCAAATATTGTTCAAATATTTACATTCTCGGGCTGGGAGTCAACTTGGACATTCAGGGGTTTATTATGAAAAGTATTCCAGAATCTGTTGTAATTAAGCTGGTAAGATAAAATAACATCTTTTACTGTCCTGTAACTGTTAGAAAAAGCAACTAACTAATATTAACCATTTACCTGAGTGCTGCCCAGTGGAAAATAATGGCTGTGTGTTTCTTTTTTCATTATGCAGTTGTGAGGAAAACGCACCTAAAACAATCGTAAGGCAAGTATACACTTGTTCCACTTCTGAGGTCTTGCCAATGAATCAGATATTTTTGTACTCAATAGTAACATGAACCCAAAGAAAGTTATTTTGAAATAAACAGCAGTAGCAGCAGGACAGGTATTTCTGGCATGTGTCAGATCAGTAATTTCTTAGCCTGGTTTTGAGCTGAACTTAAGTGAGGCAAAAGGGCTTTGGTTACAACTAGTTAGGAGGTTCATGGTCTAAAATGAAGTGCACAGCAGGAGTGCAGCAGCTTCTGGAAAGAGGTTGGATGTGTGAAAAAACTCCTAAAAATAAGTCTATTTGTAGTCAGCTGCCTGTTCAGCTGCATGGGGTGTTGCAATAAATTCGACACAACAGTTTTGTAAGGTGCAGGGTTTACACCCAGGTAAATTCAAGCAAAATTTGGGCACAGTTCTATCTGTCTTCTATTTGTTGGTTTGTACAAGATGCCATCAGCCTCTGCCACAGCAGCAGACGATTCTTCCTCTTTGTCCCCCACCAGGAAAACGCACTGGGCCAGGAAATCTCAGCCCAGAACTACTGCTTTTTGTCATTCAGATAAAGCTGAAGAATCCTAACTGCACTCACAATAATGATGATTAACCATTATCCCAGTAACTACCTCAGCATGATTGAAGGATCAGGCTAACTGACAGCCATCCTAGAGAAGCTATTCTTTGGATGTCATTTTCTCCCCAGAGAAGCAAGAAATAACTGAGTAAGTTTCTTTTAATTTTAAAAAGACAAAGAGAGGGAAGAAGAGTGAACACAGGCCCAATGCCATTTGTCTGGACTTCTCTGAAGGTATTCCCACAATTAAAGGCCAGCCATCCCAGACTGGGAACCAGACAGGGACAGATAAACCCAGAATATCTGGATATTGTGGGGATTTTGTCAGACTCCAGTGCCCAGACAGAGTAGGAATAAGCAGTAAGGGAAAGGGAATAACTGAGGCTCTTATCTGAAGACAGTCAGGGAATGCAATAAGCTGTCTGTCTTTTTGTAAGTGCAGATTCTTCTCCACCATTTATTTTACAAAGCACTGGGACAAATTTCTAAAAGAAGATCTGCTGCCTTGCCCTTGCCAGCCAGAGAGGGTTTGGTGAGCAACGATAAGTGTTAAAAAAGCAGTAAAAAATGAAGTGCTGTAAGTCCAGATATCATCTTATCTCTTGGTAAACTTTTCAACTATACCTGAAATAACTTGAATGGTAGGATTTTTGACCCTTCTTTTTTTTTTTTAAAGAAAAAATTTCCCATTATACACCTCTTGGTGTGTATTTAGTCTGTTGGAAACAGTGCCATCATAGAACCTTAACTAATGTTGACAAGACACCCTTATAATTTCTACACATGTTCAGGCTGTGAGGAAGGAGCAGCTAAATCCAAGGGACCACCAGGCAGCACATCTTCCCTTGCCATGTCCCACTGAGTGCTTGGAGGCTTCCCCTCCTCCAGGGATGCAAGGGAAGCACCTCAGAGCCAGGCCTGGCCTATGGAAATGGCAGCACCACTGCAGTGGAACAGGGCTGCATCACTAGAGGGGTCCAGATTTTCCCTTCCTCAGTTTTAAACCAGTACATCAAGACAGAAATAAACCCTCCTCCTCTTGGCTGGATCCCTTCCTGCAGGAGGAACCCAGCCCAGCTCTCAGAGCACGGCGAGGTGTCGACACACGTCAGCAAGAGCGATTCACTGAGGCCAAACTGACTCAAAAACCACCACGGGGGGGGACAAAACCCCACCTTAATAGTGCTGCAGGAGCTCTGCAGTGCAAGTGCTGCCAACAACACCCTGCCAGAGTGGAGTCTCTTACCTGACTCCTTCGTTGAGGTTGTAGAGTTCATGGTCTGGGAGACCCTTGCGCTGGAACACTGCTATTACTCCATTGTGGATGCTGCAAGAGGACACAAGGAGACATCAGCACCCAAAAAACATTTCAGAAGGGTGTCGCTTCCACAGTGAGCTCAACATTTCTTTCTAGACACTGCAGGACCTTTTTAGAAGTCATAGGTGACTTCAGGTACCCCATCCATGCCCTAAAGGGAATTACTGTCTGGAAAAGAGACGACACCTTTGAAAATCAGCTCTTTTTGTTCTGCTCCAATTTCGTAGCTTTAACAGTTGCACATCTGAAATCAGTAATTTCAGAAAACTTAGGCCTATATATTTTAGGTATTTTAAGAATCTTAAGTGTAACTTTTCATATATTTGCATATTAAGTATATTTGAAGTATTTTGAAATATGGTTTTGTCTCTGTGGCTCACTAGAGAGACAATTAACAGCTTTGTTATGAGACCAGTGATGATATTCCCAGCATTGTTGGCATATATTTGTCTGAGCTGTGGTTATTTGATTTCATTATCAACAAATCATCATTTATACAGGCTAGGCACTATACCTCAACTTTTACCCCTAAAAATAGCATCCCTTTTCTAGAATGTAATCTCAAGAATTTTTAGTTCTTAACCCCCCACAAGCACTAGATAATTATGAATTTTAAGTCCATTTAACCCGTCTCTCATTCATTTTTGAAAATGGAACAACAGAAACGGGGCAATTGGTTACAAAGACCGTTTCCTATTACCACTCAGGCATTTCTCAAAGATTTACACTTCAGCTAAAGCAAAGGCAAGGCTGTGCTGGAAGAACTACAGTTCTCTAACTACAGGTTAAGAGTTTCTAAGGGGGACAGCAGGAGAGGAAGCGATGTGCTCAGCACAGGCCAACCATCTGTCCTACAGATATGCTCCATTTTCACTTTCAGTGCCATTTGTAACTGTTCTGGAGGCAGATGTTGCTCAGAGGTGATGACTTTCTGCTGCAATCAGGTGCAACCAATGACAGGATTGAGACCACAGAACTCTCTAGCTCAGTACAAAGCCACACACCCAACACTGTCTCGGGCCACCCATCCTAAGAATTTTAGGATGCTGAAAGACAAAAACCTGCCAGGTACTGCAGGTACCCGGCAATTCAAAGGCTGAAGCAGAGACACTGAATGGTGCCCTGACCTCAACAAGACTGCACCTCAAAGGATGACTGAAATGAGTGTGTGCTTCAAAAGGAAGCTCTGAAATGCTCCTGAAATACACTGAAAACAATTAGTGTGGTGACACATCACCCTAATTCACTGAGCTTGGGTCTGAGGACAAAGGTGAAGCAATGCCAGAGAAAAGTGAGACTAAACCTGTTCCAGCATTAGGAGAAGCATCCTTCCCCAACCCAGTGCCACCTTTTTTAGCCTCACAGTTTTGACTCCAGAAGGAAAGAAGACTCACACAGTCCCTCCATCTGTCAGCTCACCCCCTTTTCTCAAACACTCCTCCACTCTTGTAACTGCTTAGCAACTTCTACCACATTTAACTATGGAATGGAAGTCCCCAAAACATTAAGGTCTTTTAGGTTTCAGCTGGGGTAGAAGGAGCTTCTTTTAGTGACTAAGAACATTGTGCAGGGTGAGCTCAGCCTTTATTTGACATGCACACAGATGCTTTTATAGCTTCCTGACACTAACGCACACAAAAAAAGCAGCTTTTATCTGCTCCACTGCCCGTGGTACTGCTACATGGATTACAACAAGACTGCTCTTAGTGAAGTGACCCAGTCAGTGCCAGTGGTGGGAATGGAGTAATTTCTGTCTGACTTGACCCCGTGTGTAATATAAAGATGATGCCACAGCTTCTCTGGGCAACCTGTGCCAGGGCCTCACCGCCTTCACGGGCAAGAATTCTTCTTCTTAACATCTAATCTAACCCTGCCCTCTGTCAGTCTGAAGCCATTCCCCCTTGTCCTGCCACCACATGTCCTTGTAAATAGTCTCTCTCCATCTTTCCTGTAGGCTCCCTTCAGGCTTGGTCAGCTCCAGGGCCACATCCAGCCCCGTGGGGCTGCTCCTCCTGCGAGGGGATGTCACTGCAGGAGCTGTGCCAGGAGGCAGCAGACTGTGCCTGGGGCCCTCAGGCACCCACACTGAACCTTCCCAGGTAAAACAGTCCCTTCCAGTGCCTGCTGGGAGCACAGCACTGGGGTGGGAGGTGAACCCACCACTGTTCACCGAGAGATTCAAAATGCAGGTAACACAGCAGCAAAGAGAGGCACTGCTTGAAAAGCTCTGCCACGTTCAGCTGCGGAAAAAGGAAATTAAAAGTGGCAGGTGAAGGATAGGATACACTGTGGAGAAACCCAGAAGCAGATAAAAAATAAGAACCATTATCCTCTTCTCTCTTTCGTAGATGTTTCCCTTATCCACTCCCCCCACCCCAGCAGCCCCTCTTCCCCCCCTCCACCCACGGGCACAGATACACACTCATGATCTCACCCAGCTTGTTTTGGCTGGCTCCAACAGACACACTCAATTTACGATTATTTGAAAATTGGCAGCTAAACGTCTCTGGTACACAGGGAAGTGACTTGGGTGTTTTAATATTATGAGTAATATGGGAAGAATGATTAATGTAGTGAATAAAACAAGCAGTCTTTACACGCTCCTCTGATTCGGAAATGAACTTTGCAATGTTCCCTGCCAGCCTTCTGCAGAGAACAATGACTAAATATCTCTCCTAAAAGCCAGCCTGCTCTCTTCTCTTTCTCTCTGGCACTACTTTCTGAATGAGGGGGAGGTTTTCTCTCTCCAGCTTAACAGGTCCATTATTATTCCTTAAAGAAATAAGAGAGAGCAAGCTTTTTAAGCAATAACTAAGGGGGACAGGTTGTAAGGATTGAAGTTATTGCCTGCATAAAACATCCCAGCAGCCATCTTTTAACCTGCCTGGGATCTCCCTTGTAGTGAGGGACAATATCCTTGCCTGGAAAACAAGTCTTGGCCTCACCGTGTTGACCTTTCCTTTCCATTGCAGAGAGCAGTGCTTGTATGAAGGGTGCAGGATTACAGTCCCTGGCTGCAGGTGACATGGGAATGCCACCATGATCTGGCCCTCCACTTGCTCAGGAGGTAACAAAAAGGAACTGGAGTAACCAGGATGCTGCTGGTGGCCTCGGTGTCAAGATATTAAAAGGTTGGCTCAAATCTTCTCAGTTACCTTAAGCTAATGAAAAAACTCAACCTTTGCTTGAATTGAAGCAATTCTATGGTTTCTACGAGTGATTGTTTAAAAGGGTTTGGTCACAATGGTACAACCTTTTGAGGTAAAGAAAATCCAAGCTGCTGCTTACAAACCAAAGTCCTGCAGGATGCTTGAGGTGGGTGGATCACCCTTACTGTGCCTGTGACCAGCCTTCACTGAGGCTTAAGTCAATAATGAATGCAACTAAACTTATATTGCAATAGTTAACCTGAACTGAAAATGCCTTGTAAACTCCCTGCTGTAACTCTTTTACAACGTGAAAGTTAATAATGGGGGCACTCGTGCACTGATATTACTCTGAACACCTTCCCTGTAGTTGCTGTGTTTGTAAATGTGTGCACAAGAACACAGGAAACAAAACAGAGCCCAGAGAGCTCTACAGAGCAGGCTGGCTGTAGGAGGGGAAATCAGGATCAGAAAACTGAAGAGACCAGTCTTTTTGGTGGGGAAACAAAATGTCAGATGGCTCCAGCAATGTATTGTACTTATCTATCCCACCACGGGTACAGATTGCCAAAGGAAAACTATGTACAACCAAGGCAGCACTCACAGCCACAAAAATCAAGCCAGCAGCCTAAGGAATTTCGCCTCTCTGGAAAGACAACTTGTTCTGGATTTGTCTGATCCTCCAGAGGAGGAGGCAGCTCCAGGACTCATTATTCAGCTGTGCAGGAGGTGGGGAATGGCAGCTCCAGCACAGACCTTCCCCACCTTTTGCTTCAGCACTAAGGGATCAGAAAGGTGTAAATTCCCAAAGCACAGAGCTGGATCCTCACTGATGTTCCTTCACTGACATTTGGAAGCCAAGAAGGAAAAACTACTGCGATTAAAACACCCTCTTCTGCCAAGTGACAAACAGTTTGGCCACAGAGACGAGGAACAATTCCAAAGCTGGACTCGCAAGTCTCTAAATCCTGACCTGTGTGCTTCAACTGAGGCCACGGTCCTCCCAGCTCAACATTTACTGGGAAAAGCATTTAGACTGGCCCATGTTTACATTCCTGCACAGCACACAGGTAATTTTAGTTCTCTAAAGCAGCCACTGCCTTTGTATGCAAACAGCATGGGTGAAAACACCAGAGTGATTTTTATGTAGTGTTTGCAAATTCTCCCCTTCCCAGAGCTCCAAGTGAGGTCCAGGAGCAAAAACAATGCTGTGTGAATAATCACACCCTGTGACTACCAAGCAGTTAAAGACAACATTTTCATTTTCAAAAGGGACTAAATGACTGAGGGCTCATTTCCCCTGGACAGTTACAGGAACAGCTAATTAACAATAATTAACCTGATACACTTGCATCAAAACCTTCTTGAAGACACCCTTGCTACAGAATAAAACCACATCTTTCTGAACTAGCCTAATCCAACTGGGAAGAGTCCATTTTCAGCACAGCTTCAGTCCAGCTGCAACTCCACAGGCTTTCCATGAGGCTTTGACCTCTTCCAAATAAGCTTCCAGCTGCTAGTTCACTTATGGTCCTGGAATTTCTACCAAGGTAAAGCAGTCTGCAAAGAGGGATAGGCTTCAGTTTTGCACTGGATCATGCAACTGAAAATAAGCTGGTCTGCAAAACTCCTTCTTCAAAGAGTTTGGGAGGATTATTTCACTAACTTCACCAACTACAAACACCTGTCTTACACATGAAGAAGCTGAGACAGATAGGTGATGGGACTTCCCAGAAGTGTTACTGAGTCAGGATTGTAGGACAAAGGAGACTTTGGCATCCAATTACAACTGCATTGAAGGAAGGATAAATAATTAGGGAGGGCTATGGGGAGCAGCAATTCTCCATCATCACCACCACTTGGTAATTCTGCAGTCAAGGCTGAAACATGCTCCGTGGTGCAGTGGTGGCTTGACCAGTGGGAAGTCCCTTCAGCAGCCCCATTCCTCCCCCTCACTCCAGTTAGGTTCTGTCTACCCTCCCTGCACACACAGTGTGAAACATTCCAAACAAACGGTCAGGGGAAAAAAAAAGGGTGATCCTCAGACAGGCAGAAGAATTTCAAAATATTTCTTAACAACCACAAAATATTGGAAGAGGGAAAATTTCCTAGTAGTAGAAGTCACAGATAAATATGCTGGTCTGGAATATTTTCTCCATTAGGAAAAGCCTCCCTGTGATCTGAAAAAACCCCATTCATTTTTAATTAGAAGATGAAACATGGTTTGCATAACTGTAAAAATTACTTTACAGCAAGTTATTGTGCTTATTACAACCCCATAAAAAATTAGCCCTAACCATAAAACCCTCTGTGATTCCATATGTCTCCTTGGATTTACTGCTGATCCCACTAATGTCACAAGCATCTCATCTGCGTTTTCTTCGCCTCCTCTTTGCTGTCTCCCACTCCTTCATGTTTCCGTGGATTTTCCCCATTTTCTTACACCAAAAAGGATCTAAGTGCCTTTGACCAGAGGCTTTTCCCACAGCACAACTGAGACAGCATCAGCTCCTGATTAGGCAGTCTGTGTGAGCTCAGTCAGAAGGAAAACCTCGCGATGGATTTTATTTGCCCTGAGAGGGCCCCCCTGGCTTTGCAGAAGGCTCAAGATTAAAACCCCGGGTTTCTCAGCCCAATTGGTTTAGTCAGCATTCAGCCCTCAGTTTTTGCCTGAAGCAGAAATGGTGGTGGGGGGGAGAGGAACAGAGGACAATGCTAGTGAAAAAAAATCTGAACTATTTTAATACAATGCAAATTCTGTGAGCTGTGAGGAAACCGGGCCGTTCAGCTGTGCTGCTGTTTGGTTGCCAGTTACCGTGCACTGACGGTGCTCTGCTGCACACATCTTCTGGGGTTCATGGGAAAGCCATGAGATAAAGTCTCATTTGCATAACAGCAGACAGCAGCTCGGCACCACTTTCCCTTTGATCTCACAGCGTCGAGAAAGTTTTAGTTTGGAGGTGAAGGGAAGTTATCAGGGAGGAAGAGACTTTCCTTGCTTCCACAGTGCTGCTTGACCCCCTGCACGCTGAACCCGACATTTGGCTCCTTCAGCTTGTCCTCCCCTGGTGTCAGAGAGCAGCAGGAACCCTCTGGTATGAACAGTCTGAGGCTGAGACTGGTCTGAACAGAGCGGAGGTGGCGGAGGGGACATCGCTGGGCAGCCGGACCGCGGCCACACACCGGGGCACTGCAGAAGGGCAGCTGCACGTCCTCCTCAGAAGGACCCCACAGTGACAGAGCTGCTAACACACCCCGCCAGGATGACTCCAGCTTGAAGCTTTTCAGCTTTTCCCTGGGGTGGCTGGAGCAGCATCCTTGGTCTGCCTCAAAAAATCTTCCTTTCAGCTCGGGACCAGCAGACTCGCGTGGGGCCGGGCCCAAGCGGGGTTGTGCTCTAACTCTCCCCACCTTGGTTTTGATGAGCTTGGTTCAAAGCCTCTTTCAAAAGCAGATACACACATGCCACACCCAGGTAAGGCTGCTAACATTAGGCAAGAAACCAGCAGACATTTAAATATAGAACAGCCAGGCTTGGTGAGAGGCAAGAGCTCTGCCAGCGCACCTCAGCTTCTTGATCAGCAAGCTCTTAATGCTCAATATTGCACAGAACGAAACAGCACAGGCAATCCTTTTGTTTGGAAGGAAAAATATCCCTGTAAAAGGAAGGATGGTGTGCTAGTCCTGTGTTGTGTTGTTTTAAATTTGTAGCGGAAAAATAAAAAAAAATCTTCCACGGCCCAAGATTTTAAAAACCTGGACGAGATTTCTGGTGAGTCCAAGTTTAGACGCCCACGGACATGATGGTCTCTCCAGGAGAGATGAACATCGACTCCCTCAAGACCAGACCCTCCTACACATGTCAAGATGGGCACACACTGGTGATAGGCAGAAGCTACAGAGGGTACCTTCTTAATACAACTAATCCAACAACATTTAAGCCCTGGCTTTCCTGAGGATAAAGCCCCAGTTTTACAGCCTGTAGATGACCTGAGTTCCTTAAAACCAACAGAGGATACAAGCCTTTCTGCGCCTGAAAGAAGTATTACCCTCACTCTCTCTTTCACTCAGGAGAAAGCCTTGCACTGTTAAATAAGAAATAAGGGGCCTTCCCTTTGCCCATGGCTCGTAATCTGCAGTACTTGCCACAGCTTTAGGCAGCTCTCAGTGCAGGCACACAGTGCCCACTTGACCTGACACCACACAACAGCCCTGCCAGTGCTCCCAAGGCATTTTGGAGGCACGTGCCATAAAAGAGCAGGGACAGCCCAGCAATCCCTGCACAGGGAAAAGGCAACCCAGGGCAGGAAAACACGGCTAGGTCTGAATCCATGCAAAGCAGGGACGGGATAACTGGCGGGCACCCATTCCAGGAACGGGCGGTGGGACAGCTGTTTAGTTGTTTGGATGAAAGGTACAGATGTCTAGTTCAATGACACTTCTGGCCAGAGTTATACCTGTCCTGTCCAAATTAAAAGTAACAAACTCTTGCTCCATCTCAGTTAGGAAAATCCTCTGGTTTGAGTACCAGCAGCCCCCGTGCCTGGAAGCCTCCCCCTCCCAGCCAGCCTGGTGCCTGACCTGCTCCCCATTCACATCTGCCTCCACAGCTCCCTCCCCGGAAGCAGGACCTGGAAAAGCTGTCAGAACACAACCACAGAAAGGCTCTGGGGACTGTGTTCTGTCACCTTGATTCACACCAAGGAGTGTCTTACTTCCTGCTGCTTCCTGTGAGGCTGCTGGCCAAATGAAGTCCAACTGGCACAAAGGTTGCCCAGTCTATCCTTTAATTACCACCACAGTCCATCCAGACCTCGGGTACAACTCTGGGTCATACAAACAACATGATATTTGAGTAGAAACTCAGTCTCCTTTGTGACCAGCACAGTTTCAGTACTCAGTGCACTGCTGCCATTCAACATGATGCTGACGTGAAACCACAAATGAAGAGGTGAGAAGGACAGAAGATGTGGTATTTTATATGGTTCATTTCTCTCAAAACTGAACTACCTTTAACGAACGTGTCTGTAATCCACTGGTATTTTTCTTCCTACACTTGTACTGCCATACAAATATAAAACATTACAAGTGACACTTGCCAAGCTGTGACCCAGGAGACGACATTTCATTTTCAAAAATGACTTGAGAATTTAATTCCTAACAACTTAGAGACTCATGTTCATCTTTTAAGAGCGTCACCAAGACAGTCAATAAGATGTTTTCTGAATATCTGGGCTAATTCCCGTTCACAACAAAATGTTTGTATGGGTTTTCTTGTAGAACAGTCATAAAATTCAAATGTATAAACACAATAAAGGAAACAAGCAGGGCTTGTCCAAAGTGCAGGTGCTTGCGTGTGCACATACACACACAGAGAGTAATTATTTTTGTCATAATGGGAGTAAATTGAGTAGACTTTGTCATTATCTGTATCAACAACCAGCAACATGGTTACGCAGATAAAAACAACGTGTCTTAATAGCCGCGTGTAATTTTTAAAAAAAGAGCAAACTAAAATAAAACCAAAACAAACCTTGAATGAGAGTGTCTAGATAGACACAAAGTCACATTTGCAGCCGGGTAAACACGAAACAAGTGAAACAAGTCTCCGTGTGCCAGGAGGAAGGCTGAGCCATCTGCAGGGAAGGCTCTTTGCTGTCAGCCTTTAGAGAAAGGTCGGGGGGGAAAGCGCCGCTCCCGCTTCCACCTGCGCGAGGCTGGGATGGGAGCCAGGCATTCCAGCCCGGGAGCCGGCAGAGGGGACACTGGCACGGGGAGAGGCTGCCAGGAGGCTGCGGGGAGGCGGCACGTGGAGCGAGCCCTTACCTGTTCCAGGTGGCGTTGGAGCAGGCCCGGCGCTGCTGGGTCCCCCGCTCATCCAAGGCTGCCTGCTCTCTCTTGCCCAGATCACTGAGGCTGGGCGAACTCATGAACTTCAACCTGCGAAGAGTCCTCATGGTCAAATGTGTGTTCGCGCGTGGCGGCTACAGATACAGCATCCTGCTCACACACACGCGCGCACGGCGGGGCGCGGGGCAGCTCCCTCCGTCCGCTGTTCAAAAAAGAAACTTAAAAAAAAAAAAAAGAAGAGAGAACCAGTCTCTACGGAGCACACCTTCTCTGCCAGCAAGAAAACAAACCTTTAATCAGATCAACTCTGACGTCATCGACCGTGGTTAATAATTTTCTCCAGTCCTTTTTCAAAAAAAAAATAAAATAAAAAAAAAAGTCGAACTTTTCTGGCGGCTGCTGCTGCTGCAGCGCTTTGAAGGGGCCCCTTGCTGCCCCGGGGTGCGAGGGCTTCCCCTCCCCCTGTGCCCGGGCACCACGTCCCGGGAATCTCGCTCAGCGCCGCGGTGCCGTGCTCCACCTGTCATGGGAACTGCTCGGCTCCTCCAGCACCTTTGGGGGTCTCAGGGCATTTCCCAGTCTCTCCCCTTCGCTCTCTCTCTCTGCACTCATAAATGGAAATGAAACTGGAGGGCAACGGACAGGGGAAAAAAAAAAACCAAAACAAAAACCAAAACAAAAAAGCAAAGCAACCAAACCCCAGGCAACCAATACTGACGCACTGAGACTTTATTGGGAAGTTTCATAACTGGCTGTGCCCTGCCACGTTACGACACTGCACACACGCTCACACAGACACATCCACACCCTCCCTTCACCCTACACACTCAGCTCCCTCCCGGGCTGCTCCTCCTCACGGTGCCACAGAGCCACAGGACGGCAGAGGATTCACAAGCAACACGACTGCGGAGTGAAAAGTGCTGGCTTGGGGTCGAGCATTTTGAGGACTATCTGGCGCTGCACAGAAGAGCCAGATGCTTTGTCTTTCTCTGCCTTTTAATTGAGATAACAGCTGCACAACTTAGGGCATACTTCGTTTCTACAAAAGCCCCAGGTGTCTTATCTTCAAAGGAAAAATCTCCTTTCTCTCCCTGACTGCAGCAGTCAGCTGAAGGATACGCTGCTACAAGACTCCAGCCTGTGCTCAGCTCGCTGTCACTCACTGGCAGTTCTGGTTTAAATTCAGGAGTGCCTGGCTCATCTGATGGGAAGTAATCTAACAAAACAGTGATTTGCTTTCTCAGAAAAGGAATTGTTTGCAATAGACTGAGCCAGAGTGTAAGAACTGCTCTCTGTTGCTACGGCATTGGTCTGCAAATAGTCTTCTAAGAGCCACGAAGGCTCCTTGCAGAGTAACCTCCCACTCACTGCAAAGGGGCTGCAATATAGAACTTATCCTTTCTTTTTCTTTTTTCTTCCTGCTTTCTACTTACTCTTTTCATCTGTGATAACCTATTGTCTAGATTCAGGCTATAACTGCATTTGCTGGTGTTCAAATAATATGGCAAACCTTACACTGCAGGAGAGCTGAATTTCTCAGAGAGAGCTCTGCCTTATGTGCATCATTTACTGACATATTTAGTAAAAACCAATTTCTCTCACTATTCACCCAAAGTCAGATAAGATGATTGCATATAAACATTCACTTCCAAAGTTTGTATTTGGTATTACCTCCATGTGAACCAGCTGCAGAACTACCTAGGGAAATCAATCCATTTTTACCTTGTGCTGGTTTTAGCAGCAGTGGTTTTATCCAGCTGCTTGGATTAGCGTTATATTGACTGCCCTTCCCACACCAAAATCCTCATGTATAACTCTCAAGTTTACAAACAAGCACCACAGTAGATGACACATAACATTTCACTTTGTAAGGGACCTGCAGCTCCTCATCTAAGCCATGGACAAAGACATTGCTATCCCTGGTCTCTTCCAGATGTTTAAACCCTTCAGACAAACAAACAAACAAACAAACAATCCACTCTGTACACGGCAGCAGAAGGAAAACAAACACAACAATATATGGCTGTATTCTAAGGAATGAGATGGCTTCTACAGCATACAAATCAGGGCCCAAGCACAGCTCCAGCAGAACACTGCCCTGTTCAAATCCAAGGAAGGGCACTCCATTTCTGTGGGTAACACAGCCAGATAGAACAGCTCGGGCTGAGCTCCTGCTGAGGGCTCAGATTAAACCTGTGTCTGCCCTGCTAAGTGAAATGACTAGTTAGATAAACCCGTGGCAACATAATGCCACCTAATTTCATTTTCCACCTAGCTCGGTTCCTTTTCTGCTTCTCACTTTCCACGAATTTGATAGGCCTCGCAAAATGTCATTATACTGGATTAAACCCTGGGAATTTTTAACTCTTTGATCCTTGGCAGCACCAGAGACTTTACAAACTGTACCCTGATGGTGCCAGTATGTCAGCATCTACCTGGTAATGTTTCATCTGCTTTTTTCCCCTAAAATCCCCAAGTAGCTAATTGACTAAACGCAAGGAGCTGCTGTGTCAGCCTTGGATATACCACACAACGCTGCAAAAAGCAGTTCTTTGCTTCCTCATAAAATGCCAAATCCCAAGAGAGGAGGGGGAAAAAAAAAAGATCTCTTTCCTTCTGTATGGTGAAATATTACACCTATAGAAGTCAGTCTATTTTTATGCCACCCATCCATCTCAGTAACCAGGACTGGATTCAGAGCCTATGCATGCAAGTACATGGGAGAGCCAGCATTCCAGCTGCCTGAAAAATTCCTGCTTGAGGTAACAGGCTTCCCTTCCTCTACACTTCTTTCTCCTTCCTGTGATTTCACCTGATCAAACGATGCTTTCTGACAAAATAAATCACTTTCAACACGTGTTACCTCCCCCCATAATTGCTGGGTGATACTTCACGTTTGCCTTGTGCTGTGTGCCCATGACCAACCCTGACTGCCTGGTACTACCTCGGCCTGAGCAGCCCTTGGGAACGAAGGGAAAAGGTGTGATCTGCACTTCAGCTTTAAGAGTGAAGGAGAGAAAGGGCCAGTGACTTGCCCAGGCCACCCCATGATGTCCCTGCTGTTCCAGCACACTACACCCAGTGGATGCTGCCAAGAGGGAGGGGAGGACTGGGGAGCCTTCCCGTAGGCTCAACACAAGCTTCTTAAACAGAACAACTGCACTCAGCTCAGTCAGAGAGCTGAGACTGGAAAGCACTGTCACATCAATTCACTGAAACCCAGCAAGCCCTACCAGGTGCTAATTCCACCATTTCCCTCGGCTCAAAGGTCGAGTGACTTAATCAGAGCCACACAACCACCTCGGTGTGGAAGGCACATCCTAACTCCTGCTCCCTCCCTTTCCCCTCCCAACATCTCTCCTCAGAAAACCAGGCCTGTCTCTACCAGACACCCTCCTTTCACCTGTGGGGCCCAAGTCCCGTGGGGACTGCATGGCAAGTCCCGGAGCCGCCGCGGTGCCGGGAATTTCTGCTCACCTGGACTGTCTACCTCCAGGCCTAAAACAATACATAGGCTGGGAGGCCAAGAGGATTTATGCTGTTATTAGGAGACAACATTAGCACACAAATCAAGGACCTTGCAGCAAGCATGGCTTTTAAAACAAGGGTAACTCCACAGTCACCTCCTGGTCCACCTGTAACATCTGCAATATTCTCCCTGGGAGCTGTGGTTTTAAGACCATGTTGCTGTCCCTAGCAAATGAAAAAAAAAAAAAATCCAAGCACACTTCCCCAAGTGGTTTAAAAAGAATGAGATTTGCTAAGAATACAAACAAACAAAAAGAAAAGAAAAAGAAGAGAACCCCCCCTACATTTTATTTATGTAATGCTATGCTAATTTTCACAGTATAATTGTATTGTCTCCTTACAAGTTTCTTTTTGACCATGATGAGGGGGGAAGAAGAACATTAAGAAATTCACAACATATGAAATTTACAATAAAGCTGCCAATGGTGTGACTGTGATAGGTCAAAGGTGTCTTAGGCCACACCACTCTGCTACTGCAATAGCAGGTGAGCACTGCAGCGACATCAGTGCCAGGGGGAGGATAAAAACAGCAAGAGAATTTGCCATCTTGGCTTGCCTTGTAAAAGAACTTGCCATGCAGAAGAACAACTCAATAAATAAAAATTTTAATTGGAAAAAAAAAAGAAAAAAAATGCCCCCTACTTCTCTTCATGTCCCCATCTCTGTTGGAGAAGAGAGTAGATCTCCCCACGGTGATGCTGAGTGAGCAAAGAACAGAAAGGTAAAGCACATCCATGGCAGAAAGGAGTTAAAAACCTCTCTAGATAAATGCACTTTAGTTTTTCATAAAACACACCACCAAAGTGAGGGCATGCCTCGACACATGCCAAAGCTCAGGAATTAGTCCTCTGACAAAACACTTCTTAAAGGCACAGCACGTCCTGCTGCGCCAGCAGAGGAGGGGAAAGGCAGAAAGGAAGGAGATGGGACCATCAGGAAAAAATAAAGAGAGCCGGGGGAAATGCAGTTGTAAACCTTATGACTCATCAATTCCTTTGCTGCAATATCCACATAAAGCTCCTTTATGGTCAGAAAACAAAGAATAAAGAGAGTGAAAAAAGTACAAAACCAAGCAGGCTCTATTGACACCCTTCCTCCTCCATCCCACTGACTCTCTGCAACCTCTGGAGATAAAGGCACTCTCAAGGACAGCTTCTGGCTGTTGTTTATTGAGGCTGGTCATAGGACAGCCTTGCTTTTGCCTGATTTTTGCCCTCTCCACAGCCAAGCACTGATTTGATTTATAAGAGGGGGCTTGGACTGACTGACACATCTTCCCAACCTTTGGAACACCTCCTGTGTAGCCTTGTACTTCTGCATCTTGTGACCAACCCTGCCAACATGACCACAGCTGCCCCCAACCCTGTGGACAGAGTTGGGCTCTCTGCCCCTTCGCCTGCATGAGGGACACACGTGGGGTTTGCCTTTTATGTTGTGGAAAAGAAATGCCCAAGGCAGCATCTCCTTCCTGAGCACGCAGAAGGTGGCACCCTCTAAGAAGAGCCCCTTGGCTGCAGTAGAAAGGGATGCTCTGGCAGTTTTTAAATATGAAGGAAAAAGGA